CGTTAATCCGTTCCGGCGTCCGCGGACCATGCGTCAAGGGCGGAAAAACGGCCGCGGACCACGCGGCAGGGTGGAAAAAGGGCTGCGGACCGCGCGGCAGGGTGGAAAAACGGCTGTGGACCACGTGGCACGGGCGGAAAAATGGCCACGGACCACGTGGCACGGGCGGAAAAATGGCCACGGACCACGTGGCACGGGCGGAAAATGGCCGCGGACCACATGTCACGGGCGGAAAATGGCCGCAGATCCGGTTCATACCCTGAGGCGGAGTTCGCAAACCGAGGTAAATTTTTGCGGCCGGAGCTGGTCGTAACCCGAAAAGTTCATAAGCAGAGGCGTTCGTAACCTGAGGTACCACTGTATACTGTTTTGGATATACTGTTTTTCAATAGCCATTTAGACACAGGGCTGTCAGTCCTCTTACATGTTTTTTTTGCTTTGAGGAAAGAACAAGGACAAAGAAAACTGAGAGGTTCCTTGTTTCAAAACAGAAAATATAACAGTGTTCTTTTTCTACTATATGAAGAGGGAAGGACAATAAGCCGTTCCTGAGGATTTGAGCGGAAGAAATCTGATTTGTGGTCTTAGAGGGCTGATTTTGTGGAGTGCAGATGATGCGGGGAACTCAAGGTATAGCTTTAATTCTCAATGAAAAAAAGCTAAACTGTATGACAGGAATTATGCAGTAGTGTCATCAGCATTGTTGTGGGTGCCTATGACAGTAGGAATCCATAGGATGGAGATAGTGGCATGTTACAGTCCCACAAATGCTGATAATGTAAGAACCAGAAATGAGTTTTGGGAAAATTCTGCAAATTGTGTGATTTTTTTTGCTAGACAACATGAATGAGATGAGATGAGAATGAGATTAGAAAGTTCAGGAAAAGTGATTTAGGGACCCCAGAATGAATAAGAATGGTGACGATTTGGTGAGTATCTGCTTAGAAAATGATGCTTATTTTTAATACGTGGTTTAAGCATTAGTCTATTCATACAGACACATGGCAAAGGAAGGAGTATACATCTAAAAATGTGATTTATTTGTTTGTGGTGAAAGAATGAGAAAATTAGTCAAGGATATAAAAATGATGAGAAGCTCTGAATGTATAATAAACTTAGCCTTGGTTTCAGTTACCTTATGAGCCACCTCAATCGTAATTGCAACTTTATGTGGCTAGAAGAGAGATTAATCTTCTAATCCTAACAGAATGGATGAAAATTGAATATAAGAAAAGAGGATATGGAAGTTGCTTGGAACAAAATAAAAAGGATTAAATTATGGAGTGCAAGAGAATTATGCTAATAGAAAAGAAGAAAAATGGTTGGTGGATGATGAAGTGAAGGAGGTTATGCTTGAGGGAAAAATGCATATAAGAGAATTATCTTTGCAAAAAATGAGAATGAAAGAATGATATCATATAATGCGTATAGAGAAAAAAACAGCTGCAAAGAATGTAGTCAGAGTGTGAACAAACAGTTAACATTAAAAGAGAAAAATCAGTGATCTGGATGGAAATTTAAAAAAATGGTTTTCAAAATGAAGTGGGCTAAACAAGGAGCATTCAGCAGACTGTATGGAATTTAAAATAACAATGATTAAATGATTTGAGATTAAACAAGTGAGAGAAGGCTGGAAGGGGCATTTTAGAGATCTGTAGGGGAATGATACTGATATGTTGAAAAGTGGAATTGCTTATCTCAGGCCTTTAATCTTTGGCATAGTAGTTCTTACTCCTTTCCTGCAATCTGCATAACTCATAAGGGATGGGGATGTATATATCTACGTATGTAGTAGCGAAAGGTGATCCACAAGCATGGGATTAATTGTCTTCATTGAAAGAACAGATGTGCGCATGTTCATGTGTGTGTAAATAATATGAATCTCTTAAGTTTCCAGGAAAAAAATACCATTGCATTATGATCCCTTGTAGTCATCTCTGAGATTCAAATGGAAGCACAATCAACTCCCATTTCAAAGTACGCACATGTTATAAACTGAGAAAATGTGCATCCTTAATTAAATAGGCCAACATAAGCCACTTAGTTTTCCATTTTTTCAGTTCAGTTAATGAGTAATTATGGTAGCATTCACAGTATTCATACCACTATGCATTAAATCCTTCATTATTATGCTTATTAATAGTCATTTATTATAAGAATCAAAGTGTTTTATTGAAAGTGCTTTATCTTGATTGCTTTTCAAATATTCTGTTTCCTTGTGGTGTTTGGGTTGATCGTTGCTTGCCAACAGAGATGCTAAAATGGAATTCTCTTCTTCTCCTAGTCATTTTAGCTAATTGCACACATTAATATAGCTGCAGAGATTTAGTCTCATTCCTTTTTCTCTAGACCAGCATCCAACTTGTACTGGATGCCTGGGTGGTAATAGTAATAGTAATAATAGATGATACCTTTAACACCATCAAACAACAACATCTGCCTACCCCAGGTCCTTGGGAAGGACTCAACAGGTGGATAAAAATGCCAAATCCAGTCTAAACATCTGGCTGAATGTGCAACCAACCATAATAAAATAGAATGACTATGGCAAAAGGAAGCAAAGATAGTACCAATAGTTATAGGTGCCTTAAGTGCAATCCCAAAACATGTGGAGTGCCACTTGAACACCATCGGCATTGACAAAATCACCATCAGTGAATTGCAAAAGGCAGCTTTACTTGGAACAGCTTACATCCTGCAATGATATCTTTAACACCATCA